GGTTCCCAACAATTTATATATACTTAAGTTCATTGCAAGGCAGAACTGCTTAATACGATAAAAAACAACTTCAAAGAATAGTCCAAATCACTAGTTACTTCTATAAGTTAACCTTAGCTGTAACAAATGGGGGTCACAATTCTGAGAGCCTAAACCACAAATTGTAAAACTTGCCATGCACAAATTTGCCTTAAATCACATTAATGATTTGACTTTCAACAGCCATGCTTCTGCTTTTCTCTAATCACCCAAGAACAACACCTAGAAGCAGCAACCTCCACTTCAGTTGTTATATAGAAGCACTGAAAGAGGAAGCCTGAATGGCAACTACACTCTTTTCCTATTCTTATTAGGTAATATTTGGAGTAGTCAAGTCATGGGAGATCTGTCTGGTCTATCCATAGACAATATACAACATTCTCACTGCACATCATATCATTTGCATGGAAAGAGAAATTCAGATTCTCTTGGTGCTTCTGCATGACATACAAAGCTATCTAATATGCAAACATTCTACAGAGAGAACATATTCTGGCAATACAGGTACTTCTGGTCTATGAACCAAACTTTGCAGAGAAGACATTCACACATTACATTTTTATGGTTACCTTGATATGAGAATTATTAATAGCAGCGCAAATAGGACATATATGAGTAGGTCAGCTTTAACATGGAATGTTCAAGCACAAGTTTGAATAAATTGGATGACCCACCCTGTGCCAAGAGCTTCCATATATGATTGAAAGGAATTTAATATACAGTGGTACCTCGGCTCACAAATGCCTTGGCTCACAACCAAATTGGGTCACAAACAAAAATTTCATGAAAATTTTGACTTGGGTCACGAACTCCACATTGGGTAGTGACCAAGATCGCAGCCATCTCCCCCCCACCCCGAGTGGGGAGATGGCCACGATCGCAGTTGTGTTCATGCAGGGAAGACGTGCATGCTCACGGCTGTGCTGTGCTGCACCTGTCTTTCCTGTAGAAGGAATTGCCATGATTGTGCTGGTTGCAGGGGGGTGGGGGAAGATGGCCGAAATTGTGCCCATCTTTCCTGCAGGAGCGTGCCCGTGCCAGGATTTCTTTGAGAAGCCCCACCCCAACATAACTGTAATGAACAGAGAGTTGAATCTGATGAACAATAACGTGGTCTCTCATTTCTGGAGGGTTATGCAGCGCAGGAAGAAACAAGTGACTATAGACATATTTTTTACCAAAACTGACCCTGCAGCTAAGAGACAAAGGAGAGAGGAAAGCCCTGAAAGAGATCTCCCCAGTGTCCTTATGGAGGGGGACTCTCCCTCAAAACAATTACCTCCCCTCACCTCGGTTAGTGTTCTCCACTGTACTGTACAGTACTTTGTTACTTTGTTGCTCTTTGTCACTTTGTTTCTGATTTTAAAAAGTAGTTACAGAACAGATGAACCTTATTTATATTGAAACTTATGGGGAAATTTGACTTGGCTCGTGACCAAAAACTGGCTCAGAACCACATTCAGAGGGGCCAGAACAGATCAACTTTATTTACATTGAATCTTATGGGGAAATTTGACTTGGGTCACAACCAATTTGGGTCACAATCAGAGTTGTGGAACGGATTAAGTTCGTGAGCCAAGGAACCACTGTATAATCAAAGTTACAGTAACTGATCAAAGGGACTATTATAGCCTTCTCCAGCCTGATGCCCTGCAGATGTTTTGCATTACAACTCCCACCATCCCTAGCTATTTGCAATGGTGGCTGAGGCTGACAACAGCTGCAGTCCAAAACACTAAGAAGGAATGGTTGAGGAATGTGCGGATATTTTCTATTAAAGACAGAGGCATAACAAGCGAGAGTGCAAGATGTGTTCGGGAAAGAAACAACAGACTAAGCTATGGCTTAGATGAGATCACAAATATGATGCACAGTCAAGATGACTCTCAAGACTACAAACTTCAGGCACAGATTGGGCCGTTCTGCTGTTATAAATTATAGAAGGTGCAGAGTGAAGAGATGGGGGTAGGGAGAGCCATGAGTACTTTAGCATCTTTAAATTGAAGCTGCCATGAGCCTTCTAGGGAGAAAATGTCAGACAGACAAGATGGAATGGAGTTTTGAACAATACAATCAAAATCACTAGAGTACTTGAGAAGGGTGAGGATAAACTGTAAACCCCAAACTTGCTATTTTGCTGATGAAATGCAAGCCCAAAATAAATAAGCTTTGCTCTCTTCCTGCTGTGCTAAGAGGTTTACGCCAAGTAAAATTGTAAGTTGCTATAAAAAAGATGGGATTCTTCATTTTAGCTTTAAAACAATAATGTAGACAGATATTCCTTTTGTAATAGATTTTGAGAGGAAAAGCTTTTTGTTCCAGGGTGAATTCTGTCAAATAAGTGAAATCCACATTCCAGTATTTTCCCTTCAGCATAACCATTATCTATTTCTAATTATCTTCAGTTTAATTATATACACAATAACTGATCTGCAGGACATTCTGGCCCCACTGCAATCTTCCAAATTCACACGTTACCCACCATCACAGAACAACAACTAGCTAATTCAGGAGATCTGCACATGAAGCAGAATGGGTATACTACCAATGGAGAGCCAGGCAACGAGATATTGCTTTCTTTTATCAAATTCTATCCCTACTTCATCAAACCACTCAATTCAACTCTCTTGCCTGGATTTGATCTCAATGGCTCACCATTGGTTTTATTTTTAGGCTGTTTGGATTAATGAATGTGGTTATGAGAAGCATGGCCATGCATATATGCACATATATTTGTAATTAAATTCAGATTTGTAAGCTACATTTTCCATATCATTAGCTGCAAAATGTTTTAAACTGTCCATTTAAGAATGCAATTGTTTATTCCAGTTGCTCACCTTTAAACTAGTTAATATCATTAAATCAGTCTTAATAAAACAATGTATAATTCCCTTAATTGGAAAATTGCATGTATCCTGGTACTAAGCTAATCCATGGTTGCTGCACCTCTAACAAATTCTATGAAATCAAATCTGCACACTTTTGAATAATAAGCTAGTAGCGAATACCAGTCTACAGGGGCAAGATAGTTGGCTATTTAATAAATCAAGAATGAAGTTATAACAACCCAAGCTAGAAATCTGGAAACATCCCAATTTCCACATTTTCAATACTCTCTTTAGAGGTTTGGAAAGAACATGAAAGAGTTGGCCTTCTGTTTGCTACTTAGTGAACAATTTTACGCTTCTAGAAAAGGAAGTAGAACATTTGCCAAAGATATGAACCCTAATAATAAGTTACAACTCTGTCTCTCATCCAATAACCTCAATTCCAGATTTGAACGTTGTGCCAAATAACCTAGGGATGGAGCAATTTTGAGCTCCCTGGGAGGCAGGGGGGATTTAAACAATTCACAGGTAGCCAGTGCATACCAAATCTATATTTGTACAGGGATTTTAAATATACTTGCATGTAACCTAAAATCATCTTTACAGGCCCATCCCAGAAACCCTGCCAAGTGGAACCAGGAGGCTGGTAATGAAGAAACAATCCAGTACTTTTCCCAGTGTAGTGCTTTTCCCAGAGAGACTCACATTGTATTTACGTTGTATCCTTTTTGATACCAGATTAAGGCCATTTTATTTCCCCAGATTGTTCAATTTTAACAACACATTTTGGTGATTTTTTGACCTTGGGCACTCTTTGTTTTCTCTTCTGGTTTTATTCTGATTCTGCTTTAATTTGAATCTGATTTTCTGTTAGCTTTGCATTTATGTTTTATGACTTTTTTAAAAAAATGTATATGCTACCTAGAGACCTTATAAAATTATCTAAATAATTGAAAGAATAGGATTTTTAAATGAGACTGCCTTCTCCCAAATTAATCTACCAATGCACCCAGATCAGTTTGGGTGGCCCTACTCATTGGACTCATCCACCCAACTAATGCTGGTTGCCTCCACTGGTGGAGCTGAGTCACCAAAGGTGCCAACTTTATGGAGACTCCCTTTTGAGAGCAAAACTTGCTTATTTTGCTTATTGGTAACTTTCCAATGGTAAGTTAGACACAGTTATTTGAGAGGACATAAACAATAAAAATCCTCTTCCCATTCAACACTGTTCTATTGCCGCCAATTTTATTGTCTACACATGTTTTTCTGCTTTTCAAAATTTGCTTCATAAGAAAGATCATAAGAACCTGGTAGATAGAATAGTGTGTGTGGAGATGTTCAGATTTTTTTTAAATAAAAGAAACTTGCAACAGAACAAGATTTCTGTGAACATACTTTTGGACGGACAGATCTCCTGTAACCACCCATGGAGAGGAACTCAGTTTTTAATATAAAAACTCACACACTCATAATACATTTGTGGAATACACTGATGAAACATATTGATTTGCAGGATAAAATGACAGGAAATTAACAGTTTTAAGAAATTAGATTTTATGTAATTCTAGCAACACATATGACATTGTAGAGAGTAAGGTAAGCAAAATATATTAGTCCCTGACTTAAATGATATTATAAACTAGATTTTTATAGTAGGACTGAGGGAGAAAAGGCCAGAGTAAACAAAACACATGTGTAAACTACATACATAGAGGCTTAATTCAGGGTGTATTCGAGAATTACAAATTCATGTCAAAAGGGTTAGTGGTAATGCAGTTTTATATGAAAATTATTGAATCTGCTTAAGAGTTGCTCTAAGTGTTTGCCATGCAATCTCCAATTTGCTGTTCTGGTAGCTGCAAATAATGACACTAATATTTCCAAGGTCTTGCCCATAATAGTCTGTGGGAAATTATAGCCCCTTTGTAATTTTAAATGATACTTATTCTACCCAAAGCAGACAACCATAAAATATGCTTGTCAAGTTTGGTTGTAAATATTAAGATTCTTACATTTCAACAATGCCAAATACTCAGCAGTTCAACAGAGATCAGCTAGCTTAGTTACTTTAAATAATGATGTTTCAAACAGCACCATGCGGTATAATGCAGGCTCAAAACAGTTGTTCACCTGGTATGTGTCCCAAAGCCTTATGGTGCACCGCAGGGGAACTTCTCTCATCAACAAGTTATTCATCCAGCGGAAAGCAAACTGAAGGTATTTCACATCATGTTGCTCTAAGTGTCTGTGTATTTGTTCTAAAAAGAAAGAAATAGAAATAGTTCACCCTGTAGGCTTTATACAAGTGTAATAATAAGCAGTAAACTACACATATACATATAATTATACAATTTTATTTTAATTATGAAAATAGGTACCTAAAGTGGCAGAGACTAATGGCTTAAACAGTTATGTATTTATGTATTCAATGGTTGTGGAAGTAGAAGGAACTTGGTACAACTGACTGATCTTTTCCCACAGCCCCCTGTGCCCCTGAAAGGATTCTTCAGAGGACAAGATTCTCTCCCAAACTGCATTGCTGGAGCAGTTGGAGGAACAGCCATCACCTCAGACTGGGCAGAGGCACCACACACAAAGTGCCTTCACCCAATTTTGCATAATTCCCCTTCCTACTGCATTGTTCCATGATGTAATACATTTTGTTCAGAAGCCCCAACTTCCTAAAATATCATTTTTTAGAGGGTGTAAGAGAGAAGCAAATTATTGGGTATACAGGCCTCCTTTTGCAATAATAAAGTACAATCTAAGAATAATGAAAATGCTGTATATATAGAAGTATAAGACAACCCTTGAAACTGGAAATAGCGAGGCAAAATTGGGGGGATTGTCTTATACACCAGGTGAATATGTTTCATTATATCATATTCATCATTTTAAAAAGGGATGGATAATAAAGACAAATGTATTTACAAGCTCATTTTTATGAATCTTCATTTTTAAAAACTTCTTACTGGTTCCAGGGGAGCTCATTCCGTGTTGGGTAGCTTTGCAAGTCTAAAAAGAGCTAGCTTACCCCCCCCCCCGCCCCCCACATCTACTAACAGTGGGTATCTACCTACACTCTCAGTTCCTTTGAAATTGTGGTCTCAGAATTCAGAAAAAGTATTAATGTCATTCCAGATACCATCCATGTCTGTAGTATAAAGTCCCAACAACAACCTGGAGGGTTGGTTGCATGAATGCACAGATGATTACTCAAGGAACCACAGTTACAGGTAAGCAACCTGTCTTTCTTCTTCATGGTCTTTTTGCATCGCATATACAGGCTATTTACTAGCTGACTTCCCTGAGACGGATCAGTGTCCTTATTATAATATAATGGAGAGAACTGGCCAACCAAAAAATCAACCAGCTCTGGCTTCACTATCCAAGCATTCATATTTGATAAAAGTGCATGGCTTGGACCAGGTGGCCACCAAGAATAAGTCTGCAATTGAGACCCCTTAAGTAAAGCCAGTTGACTTAATTATTGCATGGGAGGAGGGACCTCAAATCAGTGTATCTAGCTCTGTTCTTGCAATTTCATAGGCTAGCACCACCCAAGATGACAACTGAGGGAGCACTGAAAGTCCCTTATTTTCATCTCCATAGCAGAGGAATTGAGGCACCTATATAATTCAGATCTTGCATTATAAACAGCAAGCTCCCTTCGTAGTTCAAGAGTATACATGGTGGCTTCAAGTGAAAGGGAAGATGAAGGGGAAAATGACAATGGCAAGATGTCCTGATTCAGCAGGATCTGAAATCTGATACTTCATTAGGTAAGAAGGAAAAGGCTGACCAGCATACAACTTTGTCCTTGTGGAAGACAAGGTATGGGGAGTCAATTCGAAGTGCAGCAAACCCAGTTTCCCAATGTCATAGCAACCAAGAAGACTTATTTCCAAGACAGAAATTGAAGGATCCTAGTATCCAGAAGTTCAAATGAGTTTCCGGTAAGCACCTTTTAAAAAACAAAGACTCCAGTGTGTTCATAAGTGTTTCCAACAAGAAAGGACAGTGTTCTCAACATGGCAACCACAATGGTGGTTCAAGAGGAACAGAGAGAATAGGCAAGAAGTAGATGGGGGGATGAGTTCCAACCAAAAATTTCTCAGCTATGGAAGCTTCCAGAATCAAGGCTCTGCCCAGGCACAGAACCAATATGTACGATGCACAGAGACAACGAAGGACAAGCACTGTTGACACTGTCTTTGCCCTTGCTAGAGCTGGTAGATAATCCATAACCAGTGGGATGAGACTGAATTTTTAACTTATTTAAAAGGAAGTGTCATAAGCAGCCATAAATACTGTAAGTTGATAAATGCACACATTACTTTAGATTTAAATGTTTGTTCAAGCTAATCAATGCATTTACTTATAGGGAGATGCAGCAGGTAGTCATAAATAGTTGCATCTACTTTGCAGCAACATTTATATAGGATTATTGGAATGCATTTTAAAGTAATGCAAAGCAACAAGCCGGGGCAATTCATAGCACTTCAACTCCATTAACAAAAAATAAGCACACTGAATTTCCCATGGGTTTGTCTTTATTTCTTCCTAACATGTTGAAAGATGGACAGTTAAGTGCAAAGCTTTTCTTGCGATTTATTTTATAAAATATGCAAAGAGACAAAAAGAAAATGTACAGTCTAAAAAAGATTCATTCTTCCCTCTCTCCCTCTCCCTTACTCCCTCTCCCCCCCATATATATAATCGTGAGCAGATGTTATTTCACTGATAAAGGTAATTTGCCTGCAATAATTCTAAATTTAAATTTTCCATTTCACTGGTAGTAAGCATGCAGATGTAATGAATGACTCGGCAGATGTAATTATTGCCTCCTTTCAGACTAAAAGTATTCTTTCATAAAGTACTTATACAGCAGTTTTCAATAATAAAATTATGCTAAATCTTCAAGAAATAATAGTTCTTATATCAAAATGAAAAGAAATGAGTGAAATTGTTTTAACAGTCTTCTCAGCACTTTTAAACTTACGCAAACCTATTGAAAATGTTGCTGAAACAGGTTCTCCATTAAAAAAGTGCAAGTTATACATGCATATTTTATACAAAGATTTATATGCATGCCAGCTTAGTAAATAACATGTTTATGCAAAATGCACTATGTGTTTGTACCAACAATTAGCATGATCATTCCATAACTCATTCTTGAGTAGAATACCAGGAGAGATACAGTGTTTAGTAATGATATGCCTCCTCTAGATGCTGAAAAAGTTCATTCACTTCAGCAAATGTTTCTATAAATTCCCATCTTTTCCCAAGCATCAGGCTGAAGAACATGAAAATTTTTATATACTTTAAAGGCAGGAGTAGGCAACATGGTGCTGGTAGGCTAGCTCTTTTTCTTACTGGAAAGTAGAATTAGGGTTAATGGATGAAATAGATTTCTGTTGATGCTGAAAATTGTGGGTTCAAAAGAGTTAATTAATGTGTTTTGGTTCTGCCTTGTACTCATCCTTTTGGGTAACTTACTTGAGCTTTATCACACTTTCCATGGCAGCAGTTCCATGGTGGTACCCAGCATAGTCTGTCAAATTACCAAATGTGTCCATGATCCAAGGAAGTTGCCTACCCCTTCTCTGGAAGAAGCCAAGAAGCCCAAAATGATAACATACTGCACAGCAAGCTCTCTAACCAGTGTGGGCCTTCCGGTGGTTTACAAATTTTAAACATACATTTGCACAAATTTGTAGCAAAATACTCCATAGTATAAATATGTGCATAAAATTTGCTCTTTTTAAAAAACTGAGGACTTGCTTCAGCAACTTATTAAATGGATCTGTGTAAGTTTTAAAATTTCTGAGAAGATGGTTAAAACAATACCACTCTTGACAGGACAAAGGAAAGTCAAATTGGCAGGGGGAAAAAATCCCACTCTTACCTTCCGTCAGTGACAAGGTAATTGTGGAGATCTTCCTCTGCACAAGCATTTAGGGGGCAAGGCTTCAGGAAAGGGCCTTGTCTGAGATACTGTGGGCTGGAGGCCTAAATTCGGAGCATAAATTGAAAGTTCCCTATCCCTGACCTAGAGATTGTAAGAAAGAGTTTACAACTTATCAGGTATGGATGCTTAGTTAAATTATCATCTGCAACTGTTCAAGGCCAGTGAATGCCCAACGCAGAAAAAAACAAAACATAATTGGAATTAGATAGCTTTGTAACTGTGTACTACCAGGAACTGCATACATATGAGAGCACACAATTTTATGCAGGTGGCGCAGTGGTTTAAAGCACTGTGCTGCTGGGCTGGTTGATCGAAAGGTCGCCGGTTCGAATCTGCACAACGGGGTGAGCTCTCTGTCCCAGCTCCTGCCAACCTTGCAGTTTGAAAGCATGCAAATGCAAATAGATAAAAAGGTACCACTTTGGTGGGCAGGTAACAGTGTTCCATGCACTTCAGTGCCACATGATCACCAAGACTGTTTGCGGACAAATGCTGGCTCCCTTGGCTAGGAAACGGAGATGAGCACCGCCCCCTAGAGTCAGGCATGACTGGACTTAATGTCAAAGGGAAACCTTTACCTTTTAAGAAGCTGATAAAGGAGGGTTAAATTATTTCACCTTTCCTCTGTTCCACCACTTGGTTTCTCTGCTAACAATAGAAGACATCAAGTTCCTTCCTTCAACCACCACCAGTTAAATGCAGAAGGGCTCTCAGGGGAGGGATGGATCCTTCCTTGCCTTCTTGACTAATCTACTTGATAGAAGGCATCTTATCTGCCTGCTAAAAGGCTAGCAGCCGACCTTTCCACGCAGGCCACAAAGCAGGAAACATCCCCACTATCTTGGCTACCCTGGAATTACAACCTAGTCTCTTTTGTAGTTTTGTTTACAATGCATCTCCAGATCCTTTTTACTGATGGGGTTTGTCTTTCACTATTTAGTCATGTGATAATTCTTTATTCATGTGTATCCCAGAAATTCCATGTTGCGGTCTACTCTTAGTCATCAACACTGGAAGTTAAAGGCTTCCTGGGCTACATTAAATTTTTCTCCAAATGACCAATTATATTTAATATATGGTACTGTCAGACAAATAATTGCTACATAATTTCAAACTCAAATAATTTTAGGTTATATTGGATTTCCCTAGATCACAAAGTAACATATAGATTAGACAGTCTCATTAAACAATTCTAATACATTGAACCAATGAATTCCATAAATCGCTCAGGAAGTTCACATTCGATAAGCTTTGGTAAAAAGGTTTTTTACTCAGGAATGGTATTTGGTTTTACTCTGAAAAACAGAGTCTCTTAACAGTGAACTTTAAAACACCTTAGAAAAGTAATTAAAATTGTTTTTCTGGTAATGCTTGGTATATGATTTAACAGAGCTTTACTGAATTATAGCAATCACATTTCTTATAAATATTGTAAAATAACAAATCCTTTGAAATTGAAAACTTAATCCACATAGTTGGAAAACAATTCCCTTAGAAGATGAGAAGAACAGATTATTATGAAATTCCTGCACTTATTATACTATATATGTAGTCCTGCACAATGTATGACTGAAAAACAACAAATGCCCATAGCTAAGATTGTTTTAACGACAATTATTGACAAAATTCTGTTTTTAGTTACACCACTTGTAAGGCAGGAACCCAGAAACTCCAGAGTTTCCAACAATAGTTTTAGTTTGCCATTAGAAATTCCCAGCTCACATTCTTTCAGACAAGACCCTTTATGGAATGCTAAGACTAATAAGACATTCTTAAAAGGGGAGAGGCTGGGTGTTAAATCCAGATTAGAGTCTTTTCCATCCATAGCCTCTATTCCCTTTTTAATTCTGTCTTACCGATTGTATTGGAATGGCTTGTGCTTTCCCATTTTCCCTGAAGGTTAACAACAGCGTCCTACTATTAAGTAAGCACATGTTACAGGAAAAGAATGGTTAGGTGCCTCTCCTTCCAAACCTTGCACCCAAATTTCTAAAAGGCATTCCCCATTGCTTACTCTCTGGGAGCTTGCTTGCTTGCTTGTATAGCCCCTAGACCAGCTAAGGCACCTTCCTCTGCTCTGCTCAGCAAGAATTCAGAAAACAGAATGACTCTCCACATCCACACAGCTGCTAAGAGTAATCTGGCCATTCCCCTTCAGTTGCAGCTCTCAGGACTTGCGTTTATTTTTATTTCTGTTTTATGAATGTCAGCGTAAAGGGTTGGATCCAAAGGTACCTTTAATTCCATGGTTGGTCTCCTTGCATTTGCAGAAGGGGCTTTCATTCAGTGGAGGTTTCCATAAGTGGAAGGGAGATGGTAACTGATTACTCCCTCTTTTCCCTGTATCACCTCTTAGGATGTTCCAGAGGATTTCCCAACATCCAGAGATTTTCAGGGAGAAACAACAAAAATTAGTCTCCACTTTTATTTGCAAGAATCTGCTCTGGATTGAAAGCCCTATGGTATATGGTAGTTTAAAAAAAAATCTAACTGCAATTATTCACCACCATCACCACAGTGCAGTGACAGTAGGACACAATATGATACAACAAAAACACGTGTATGAGAAAGGGAAATCTGCAAGGGTAAAATTAAATCTGTGAAATTAAGATTTCAAGGCACAATTGTAAGTTTTAAATGGGACAGGTTTGAGACAGGCAAAATGTGCAAGCTTGTGAGAAATCTAGTAAGTGTTTTGCAGTGGAAAGACATTTTATCTATAGATAGTAGAATCATATTTTCCAGTTGTTTGCCTACAGCTAATACCACACTCATTCCTGCCTTTAGCAAATACTAGGGAGGTCACATTTCATTGTATTTTGTTCTTCTTTTCCATGAATGGCTATCAGTTAACCACTTCTGTACCACATCCTCTTCCCTGCTGAAATTGTTTTAACATTCCACATTTCCACAATTATTTCCACTTACCAACCCCCTAGCCTTCACTAGCCCTTGATATCATCTCCTGTTATGCAGTTATGTACTAACATACTTCTCTAGAGATGTTTAGTAAATAAAAGTTTAACAAATGAACCAAATTAAAATTGGAGAAAACATTTAATGCACAATTCCTACCTACAAACACACAAATAGAGCTTAAAAGACTCTCAACGGAACCTTCTTCCTCCACAGTATGGGCACCCTGAATCTACCATTTTCTAGAGCAGGAAGCCAGCCCATATTTCTGCCATTCCTTGCTTTCAAACCCAGAACTTGAACCAGAATTCATACCAACCTTGAGCACAATAAGTCAAAGGAGGAGGAAACATACTGGTCTCCTGTTCTAGCTGGTTATGGTTGGGAACACAAGAAACTGCTTTATGCTGTTTCAGGCCATTGGTCCCTGAAATTCATTATTCTTTTTTTTAATCATAACTGGCAATGGATCCTCAGGTTTCACACAGGGTTTTCCCCAGTCCTACTTGGAAATGCCAAGGATTCAACCTGGAATTTTTCTCACACATAGTATGTGTTCTGCCACTGGACTATGGCACTTACCATGAGACGCGTGCCTCATGGTACCAAGAAGGGAGGAGGCCATCAGTGGCTTTGCTATCTGTGTGCTACCTCCTTTACCCGATGTGGCATGCCTGCATACACCAAGTGCTGTGCAGCTTGGGCAGGAGGTGGTATTGCACCCAACCTGCTTGAGGGATCCTGCAGGCAGCTGGCTTGCCACTGTGTGAATAGAGTACTCAACTTGATGGACCTTTGATCTGATGCAGCATGGTTTTTCTTATGTTCTTAAGGGAGATGGAAGGAGTGCTCCATTCATAAGGAATCACGCCAATACTTTTTAAGACAGACTCCTGACAATAGCTTTTTATAAGCAATTTATTTAAATTCAATGGCATTCCTTCTGACCTTACAAAACTGGACATATTGCATAGCTTTATACAATAGCAACTCACCCATTTCATAACTATCAGTTATTTGAACGTTAACCTTTAAGCATAACCAATGTCAATATCTACTGTTTAGAATGCTAAAACACAGGCAAGCAAATATTAAATTTACTGTGCTGCGACTAAGCTTAGATTGCATATAATGAAACGATAGAATTCATCTTCTCAAGAAGCTTATCAAGTATTAAGCTATTTATGCAATAGCATTTCTTTGATATACACACACACCCATAACTGACAGGCAGTGTCACAAATATATGCTTAGTTCTGCTCGGCATCACTTTGCTCGTTAATTTAACGAACTATCAAGAGAATACATTTAGAATGGGCAAGCACTATCTCTCAAATTTCATTTAATTAAACTCTGCTCTAGCAATATGACAGTCAGCATTTCATGATGGGAATTGTTTTAAGGATGAAGGTAGAAAATGCTTCAAAGTGGCCCTGCTAAAAACATGAAAGCATAATCTAAAATTGTCCTTGCACCCACTGTAATTTATCTCTAATATTAAAGATGTTATTTCCAAAGTTGGTAATTAATTGGATTCCATAGAGAAATTATTCAGACATTCCTGATAGTAGAATGATACACAAAAGCACAAAACACAGTGCCAAAGGACAACTATAAACAACCACTGTGACTCTCCCAAATTACTACAATCATTGAGCTTAATGCAAAATGAATGCTGGCTGCCTTTTGTACATAGCCATTAGTCTGCACCAAAGAGATTGACATTGAATTTTGATTACATTGCCTTAATAAAAAGTAATGAGAGTGGCTCATGCTCTAGTGGCTTTCCTTTAAGTAATACACTGCAGTAAGTTTCCAAAAGACCACTGTGCCACAAGTCGATTAAGGATGACACCTTGGCTGTGAAAGAGTGCATTAGGCTAGGAGCAGCAGCAGCTCACAAAGCTTTTAACTAAACACTTTTAATCAAGCCACTTTTAGTATCTCACTTAGGTTTTTTTTTTTTTACTTACCATCAATCCGGCTAACAAGCTCTTCTAACATTTTCACTTTCTTCTGTATACCTGGCTGAGCAAAGGTGTAGTTATCCTAAGAAGGCAAGATCATATGTTGGTAAAGAGATTTGGAAACAGGTGTTCCAAAAACACACTCAGAATTGCTGAATATCCAGTTTCAAATATAATTCAGTCTACTCATCCTTGCAGAGTGACCAACTAAGACAGAGAGTAACGTGAACATTAGGGGGGGAAAAGAAGTTTGTGATAATATAGCTGAGCATTTTCAGTAAAACCAGTCTTAATGAAGTTGTCATTTCAGTAAAGGGCCTGATTAGCCTATCAAGTAAAATGTGTTTTCTCTTATTGGTGCATCAACAACAAGAACAGGCATGCAGGATGTATATACCACAAACAGAGGGTAGAATTGTAGAAAGCACAGAAAACAGTATCTCTTATTTCAGTAAAAGGGCTAGCAAGACATTTCTTGCATTGCAACAACAGAAATTCTCAAGGAACCACCCTTTACAGTAAATCAAATTACCATATATTATGAAAAAATTGAAAAAGCATGGAGTTGACTCATTCCACAACATCCCTTCCTCCCATTCCTTCTTCAAATTTCCTAACACTTGCAATAAGTCAAATATGCCTAAAACAGCATACCATTGAGTCAGTCCTTATGAACTAATTCTTTAAAAATAAATCCACAATGAACTGCTTCTTTCCTCCTATTCTTGAGAATAAATCTGTCTTCTTGAGAACTCTTATGTATGACAAACTGGAACTTTATGAAAAATATTTTATTTTTAATTGCTATGGCTGAATATTTTTTGTGCTCTGAGCATTAATGGTTACAAAAAAATCAGAAAGCAGAGAAGTAATTGTATTCTCTTCTCAGTTCTCCAAAAACAGAAGAGTATCTGTGCCACATTAAACATCTTTATGCTTTAAATGACTTATCACAACATTCCCATTCCATATCTCATTGGATTCTGCAGGGCATGCTTTAAAAATCAAAATTTTGACAGGTAAATGCATTTTGTGGCATTAAGGACACTTCTTAATGGTAACAAAAACAAAAAGAACATTTTAATGCAGTCAGTGAAGAGCAGCAGTTGGCGATGGCAGAAAGCCACACCTGTCAATAGCTTAATAATACTGGCAGTGAAGCATGCAACAGTGAAGTCTCCCTTTTCCTCACATAGTCATAAAACACTTTTGCAAATTAAGTCCTGTTTAAAAGTAAAATAGGTTTTATTTGCCTAACTTGAAAATATCTTTATGTGAATCTCTTTTACTTTTCTGAAAGCTATTCCGTAACAGTTCAGTTCTGGACATGTGCCCTTTCATGGTCACCAGGAGCAGCTGCTTTAAAACTAGGTCATGAAAAAGGCCTTTTCATAAGGTAAGCCAATAATGTGCAGAGGACTGCCATGCAAGCTGGGAATTTATTTATTGATTTTACACAAACGATCACAGTCGCTGCATAGAGTAACTTTTCACATGCTGTCTGATGTATGCACTGCAAGACACTGGCAACTGCAAACTTGCATCTGCTGAACAATTTATTTTTCAGATATTAAGCATAAATGTTAGGGAATCCCATACCAACGAGTTAGAGGGATCACTGGTCTCAGTCCTGATGAAAGCATTTACAATACAGTATTATAGTCAATAGTATGGCAATATCTCAGGTCACAAAACAGTATGCAAGTTTCCATCTTCTCCAGAACTATTCATTAGAGTTTAGCAAAAGAACTCAGTAGCTTGAGTTATATTTTGTGAGTTTACTAAAAGGTACTGCCCTAATATAGATTTTGGATTTTTTCTTATGGTCAACAAGGCTACTTTTGATTTAGTGTGACTTGAATAAATACCAGATATTGAAAAATAGAAATATCCTCAAGTCATTTTTTAAAAAGCTGCCAAGTAGCATATGGGAAAAACAATATTGCTTCAATCAGTCATAGAACTATTGAACTACTGAAGAGGACCAAATTCCTAATGTATGCCAGAAATAACAGTGGCCAGTTTTAAGTTAAAGTACGATAGATATATTGCTATGAACAAGAGTCAGAATTTTCTTTTCAAGTTATATTGGAAAGTATCCATTTACCTACACAGTGGAATATCCACTGCTCCATCCTACTTGTCAGGTGTATTCTTTTTCAAGAGCCTTAATGCAGTTCCAAACCTCAACACTAATCAGTTATCCCCACTGGTTAGAGAAGCAGAAATCAATTTACCTGAATACCATCAAGCAGTTTGCTCATGCACCAGAAACTGTCAGCTTCAATGTTCTGCAGTACTTCAGCAGGCAGACTGGAAACATCAAAATTTTCCACTTCTTCTTCTTCTGTTTGGCAAGAGCAAAAAAGAAAGGAAGAAAAAGACAAGTCAATGAAGTGCACAGAATGAACAAAACGCTGAACCCCTAAAAATATAGCCATCAATAATCTGATCTGTGAACTTTGAACTGAACATCCATTATCATTATCTCACCCTTTTTCCTTTCAGGAAACTCAAGAAGGCTTGCATAATCCTCCTCTCAATCTTATCCTCACAACAACCACCCTGAGAGACAGGTTAGTTCTTTACCAAGCACCAAAAACACTGTTTCAAGCCAGTCAGTGTTCTTCAAGTCTGAAAGATGTCTGATCAATTACAGCAAGTGACAATGCACTTCTTTCACGCCCATCAGATATTAGAAAGGCATAAGAACTACACAATAGACCAAATCCATTATGAAAGGGCACTTTTCAAAAAAAAAATCTGGAATGGCAAGAACCTGCATAGAACACGTTCCAGTCCATTCTGTGTTGCAACCTCTAGGATCAATTGAGACTGCCTTTTTAAGATTATGTGTGTTCTGAGTTAGGAATGAGAGAGCACAAAAAGGGGCAGAATGATCCTCAAATAGGATTATCATATACAGATGGGTGCATGCTTGCCGCAGCACATACGAAGTCCTATCAGCAGCTAGTTATAATGCAGGCCTATTTCTGAGAAGATGTAAACACTAGCTTTATGCTTTACTGATACCCCAGGAACTCTGCTGCTGCTCCCTCTACATGGCATTTTTGCTTTGTGATCTTCCCACAGTACCCATCAGGAGATTGGATTTGTCACAGAATCCAAAAGCTGCTGTTTGAACTGTCATTTTTCACATTGGTGGCATGTCTCCAAGCATACAGAGAGGAATGTAATAGGAGGATGGAGCAAAAACATTACTCTTTTAATAGCTTCCTTGGAATTCATGGGAAAAACCTATCACACACTCATACACCATTACCATGATAAACACAGCTGTAGTATCTCTACTGTTTAAAAGTATGAAGCAGTTTTCAGCCTGCTCCTTAATGCTAGAAGAACTTTCTGCAAACTAAAACTTCTAAAAAAAACCCCCTCAAGTTAAAAATAGTTTTAAAAATGAGAACATCCTCCTGCCTCACACTAACTATTTGTATTGGAAGGCAAGCTTCCATCGGCACCTATCATCATAAAATAGGGACTTGTACCATGTCCTCTCAGCAGCATAAGTTTTTCTTGCTAAATGTCAGGTTGAAGAAAAGTGCTTTATATATCTTGAAAGCTAACTAAATGCTTAGAGATGGTCAGTTCCTAATAAAAAGTGTAAGACTCATCCTCTTTCAAGCCTTTATTTGGCAATTCCTCTTTTGACAATGAGCTCACTGAAGAAAGAGTATCCAAAAACAGTGGTCTCATTGTCAAGGAAGCAAACACCATATGAATGTCCCTAAGGAGAGCTTGATGGTTTCTGCTGAGGTCCAGATGAATTTCCAAATAAATTGTTTCATTACATGTACGCACCAACAAAAGTCCATGACAGCTTACAATGTTAACCAGTTTCCAGCAGATCAAAGGGTAAATGAGCTCCAAAAACATAACCAGTTCCTGAGTCAAGCCCTAAACAGTTGAAAAAGTTTCAAAGTTCTGCCATGAAGGTTCATCACCGAAGAAAAATTATGCCTATGGATATCTGGATTTAACATACCATGTAAAGATACACAAACCCTACTAAAAAAGAGAGGACAAAAGTAACTTCACGAACAGATCTGTAGAGTATTATAAAGGTGTGGGGTGAAGAATTGAACTTGATCAGAAATTCATATTGGTCAATTTAGATTAAAAAAGGGAATATTTGAGGAAAGCAGAGTGAAAAACAAAGCAGTTATAGATGAAAGTGCATGCACAATGTAATCCTATTAGAATTAGGCCACTGCAAGCCATGCTTTAAAAACTGACAAGATAAATGCACAAAAGTTGCAGCAAATTTAAACACAATGTAGATTTTTTTCTAAGTAACAGGACAACCAGCATCTTTGTCAATATCAGAATGGAAGGGAGAGATACCACTGTACAAAAATTCCCAATTACAACATCTCACAGCAATGTTTCTCATTTTCTTCAGTTTCCTGTGGCGCTTCTCATCATGCTGTCTGTGTAAGTGTAGAAGATAGCAAAACAGTTGCCTAAAGAAAAACTGCTGTGACATGAAGTAAGTGACATGCTGATCCAAGTGCTGTGGTTGCTGCAAGCATTGCTATTAGCTGCTGTTTACTCTTTCACAGCATATTATCCGATTCTTGTGAAAACCTCCTCTGAGCAAAGAAGAGTAATTCATTTAGAAAGCCTCTAACGAGATGCATTCTCCACAGGCAGCAGCAACACAACAAAATGAAATGGGAATTAATTACAGTTTGTTACACCTTAAGATGCTGCACTCAAACAGTAATGGTCAGATTAAGAGCCAGTCCAGCAATTGTCTTTTAGTTGCTTTTAAAAGCCACTAAATAGCATCAACAAACATGTTGTTTGCTACCTGGCTTTACACAGAGGTTTAATCTCTGCTGTGAATGGACACTATCACTGACTGAAGCTGAAGCTAAAATTTACATGTATTTGAATACAGTACACAGTTAAACCATATTTAGCATTTAGTAATCAATTAAGGTAAAATTTAATTGGTTAAGGATTAAATTTGCAAAAGTGTAACTCAAAGCTCCAGCCAAGCAGAGGCTTCTCCCTATGAACAAAAAATGTCCTGCTAGGGTTTCCTACCGCCTGCTCCCCTGTGCAGAATCACAGTACAGATAAATGTCAGAGAGTGCTCTCCAAATTATCTTCAAAGAACGAACAGTTTACACATGTCTGTAGACAAGGTATTGCCAGTATGGTATTGCACTCACAAAGTTATTGACAGAAGACCAAATATGCTAAGTTATAATCTTCTGATAATCCTTTTTAAAGGAATTTTGTTGTTGTGGATGTTAAGCTTCTAGCATAAAGTTCCATACCCTGTGCAAGTTGTTCACAAACAACTCCAATCCCTTATGTGCACATAAAATTTCTTCTGCATGAAGGAAGTTCACTGAATCATGATCAAATACCTTATTTGGAGAGAAGAATGTTTTTCTTATGTCTTCTAATGCATAAATGCTATTCAGCACATTACCCTCTTATGTTCGATAGAACTTTAAAACTGCAACCTGCATTATTTCCATATTTGTACCAGATCCTGCTCCTTGGTTACCTTTAATATATGTATCTTTCTATGTAATGATTATTTTATGGCAGGCTAAAATGGCTGGGAGGATATAAGATTGGATTCAAAAGCAGCCATTTATTAGAGAAATTAGTTTAGAACATCTCTCACAAACATGCATACAAAATAATATAGGAAAATTATAACACAGAGAAATGTGTATGCACATATGTGATGGGGAAGGGGAGGCAATGTGTTAGCTAGACAACAAGCAAACATAGTTCTGACTTCATTTGATCTTGATCAGAACATTCAATTGACAATAAGCTAATTAAAGCACCTTTGGGTAAGTGAAACTGAATTTAGTAAGCTTCTCAATTATGAACAATGAATCAAAGGATCATGATTTGTAGCTTAATATTCATAAGGAAATACACAGCATGCAACAGACTGTCTCATTAGCATAACTTAATTACAAAACAAGTTATTTTCCCACAAGTCACTGTTACTCAGATTATAAACATGTTTACAAAATTTGGGGTGGGAGAAAGAAATCAGTCAAGAATTACTTTGCCACCACCCTCAACTATTAAACTTTTGTAATCTATCTGTGCTAATTACTACTAAACTCAAAACGCTACAAACAATTCTGTGATTTCAATTAAAATACTACAAAGCTAACTCTTTCATGTTTGCAATTAATTCTTGTTTAGTGTTTTTCAAAATGCCCTTATTTCATCCAATGGAACAAGTGTTTCCAATTCTCAGAATATATACTAAAGCATTCTGTTGTTGTATACAACAGAATCGGCGGGAGAGGCCCTTCTCCGGGAGCCCTCCGTGAGAGAAATTAGGAGGGTGGTTACTCGGAGAAGGGCTTTCTCAGCGGTGGCGCCTAAGTTATGGAATGCGCTCCCCAGAGAGGTCCGCCTGGCGCCGTCGTTATTTGCTTTTCGGCGCCAGGCTAAGACCTTTTTATTTAAGCAACATTTTAAATGCTAAATACAATTGAATTTTATCTGGCCAGGGCGGCTTATTTTATAATGTGAGTTTTAATCAAGATTATTTTATATGGATTTTAACTTGTTTTATCTATGTTGTAAGCCGCCCCGAGGCTTCGGCGAATGGGGCGGCATAAAAATGTTTTAATAAATAAATAAATAAATAAATAAATAAATAAATAAATAAATATAAGTAGTTATTATAATACTGATATACCAAATTCATTCACTTAAATTGGAGCAAACACCAGGAATGCTTCCTTTATCACCCTGTTCTCTAACAATTATTACTCAATGATGCTAGAAATGTTGCCACAGAATCCAATCAAATAGTTCATATGTTACTTGGACTTCCTGCTTTGGAACATATAATGCCTGAGTACAGTATTTCATAATAAGCAAAAGTAACCATTATATGTTACTATCTAACATACATTTTCTATTGAAATAATTCAGCCAATCCAGACTTGCCGTATAGGTATAATATTCATATTGTTCTTTTTTCTTTCACTTTTTCATTTTTTATTTTAAATCATAATCTAAAATATAGCACTATACATTAATACAAATTCAAAAATCCATCCATAACAACAACAAACATATGAAGAAAAAAGAAAAACTATAAATACAACTAGTGCACCCCCCGCACCACAAGGTCCTTGGTTACATAATAATTATTCGTTTCCTTCCTCTTCTTTACTTCTTCTGTTTCCCCCCCTTTCAGGACTACCCTCTTCCATCCAAAATTGCATTAAATTACACAAAGGCTTGATACTCTTCCCTTTTATTGGATGTTCCTATTGTTCCACCTATGCCTTTGCCTAATATTGCCCTCAACTGTGCAGAGAT